CCTTCCTCGTGCCCTCTTGTGCAGATGAATAAGGCATTCGCTGGCCTGCCGTGTGTGGTTTTCTCCCTTGTCATCAGTCAATGCGTGTCTTTTGAGTCGTGACACGTTTCCACAGTCTTTGGAGCTAAGGATTTTGTAATGTGTTAATGCTTCTTTTGGGCTTCACTGGGCTGAATTAGGTCACTGAAGGTGGTTGAATTAAGAGAAAAATGCATTAATTTGATCATTTAATCTTATAAAACAGGAAATAAGAAAGCTTCTTTTAAAAAATACAAGAACATCTTATTAGATGTAATTACAATGCTCGTGAAACATTTAAGTCCCAAGACTTTTCTGACTACTGTCTTATTTTTACAATTATTTTCTTAAATAATTGCTGCATTTACCTGATATTTATCTTAAAAAATTTGAAAAGTACTACCAAATTGTGTACCAAAAGTTAGAACTACTTCCACCAACAGTGTATATACTTATACCTTGCCAACACTGAATCTTATTAATCTTTGAACTTCTAGCATTCTAATAGGTGAAAAAAGAATGTTTCATTCTAAAGGTACTCTATTGATAACAAATATGGTTCAGTGATTTGTTTCATATGCCTGTTAACCACTTTTACTTATTTTGTTTAAATTGCTTTTGTTTATAACTTTTGCCCATTTTTCTATTGGGCTGATACAACAAATGCACCTTTGCTGTGCATTTAAGCATCTAGAACTATCATGAGTACATCATTGAAAAAGCCATAAGAATATTTTCTCGTGGAGATTACATTCTAGAGAAAAAAGAAAAATAAACAAAAAGATCAGCAATATGTACAGTCATGCACCATATAATGACGTTTTGGGAAACAATGGGCCACCCATATATGATAGTGGTCCCATAGATTATAATATGGTACTTCTACTGTACTTTCTCTATGTTTAGATACACAAATACTTACCATTGTGTTACAGTTGCCTACAGTATTCAGTACAGTATCATGCTGTTCAGGTTTGTAGCCTGGGAGCAATAGGCTATTCGATATACCATAGGTGTATAGTAGCTTATGCCATCTATGTTTGTGGAAACGCACTATAATGTTTGCACAATGACAAAATCACCTAACAACACATTTCTCAGAACATATCCCTGTGGTAAAGTGACCCATGACTATATTGAGATAAAAGCATGGGGGATGACAAGGATTTACTTAGAGGTTGCTTTAAGCTAACTGATCAAGAAAGGCTTTTCAAAGGAGGTGATATTTCTTTCATGATATTACTGATAAGATCACCCAGTAGAAGAGCATCTTTCCAGGTGATGGAAATAGCATGCATGAGCTTGGGGTATTCCGCCAACAGAAAAGGACAAAAGGTTCCTGGGATGAACCTTCCAATTTCTCCAACCTCATCTCTTCCCACTTTCCCTCCATCACCTTTTCCAGCCTTATGGAGAAGCCCATGCACAGCCTGGTAGTCCAGGGGAAGGAGTTTCCATTTTATTCCAAGCATGCTAGAATGCAAGTGGAGCTTTCTGTAAAGGAGTAACAAAATCAGATTTATACCTTAACAGATTACTCTGGTTGCTAGGTGTGAAATCAATCACTGAGAACAAGAATGGATGCAGGGAGGCCAATCAGAAGCCTACAGCACTTGTCTAGGTAAGAGCTGATATTTACTTGGTGCAGAGGATACTATACTTGGCCCACCCAGATTTCCTTTACCTGCTGGGTGTGCCAGTCTCCTAGCGACCATGAAAGTAGGCTTCTATCAGCCAGGCACTGTGGCTCATGCCTGTAATCCCAGCACTTTGAGAGGCTGAGGCAGGTTGATCACCTGAGGTCAGGAGTTCGAGACCAGCCTGACCAATGTGGTGAAACCCTGTCTCTACTGAAAATACAAAAATTAACCAGGCACGGTGGCACATGCCTGTAGTCCCTGCTGCTCAGGAGGCTGAGACAGGAGAACTGCTTGAACCCAGGGGGCAGAGGTTGCAGTGAGCTGAGATCGTGCCACTGCATATCAGACTGAACAACAGAGTGAGAAAAATAAAATAAAATAAAATAAAATAAAATAAAATAAAATAAAAAAATCAATAAATAAGAAAGTAGGCTTCTATCAGTCCCAGTTGCCTGCTTCCTAGAAGGTGGTACCTGGTCTTCCTTCTTGTGGACCTTAGCCAATGATTGACCAACAAGGGGATCCCTTGCCTGGAGGTGGGGTTAACTCTCTGGTATAATGTGCTCTAGCACTTTATTGTGTTGTCAGCCCGAAGCTATTCTTTAGCTTAAAAGATGTTTCTGCTTAGCTGCCTCCTACTGTTCCTCCCTGCTTCTCTTTGTCTTCTCTTCCTCAATAAATTACTTGAATAAGAATCTTCAATTAGGCTCTGTTTTTGAATTAACCTAACCTCAGACACAGTTTACAATGGTAGAGGCTGAAATAGAGGAAAGAGAAAGGATTAGGAATGCTCTAGAGATAAGGGCTACAGGAATGGTTCTGGAATGTGAGAAAAAGACAGAAATAAAAGTAGTTCTCAAATTTTGCTATTGTACAACTTGGTGGGTAATGACATCATGTACTAATGAATGCCTGGAAGAAGTAGATTTGCAAGGTAGAGAAGGAAATAATTTTATTTCAGATATGTTAAAGTGTCTATAAATGGATACCACTGGGTAGGCAATTAAATAAACCAATCTTTTGATCCCAGGGGCAGTTCAGTCTGAAGATCAATATTTGGGACTCAACAGTGGCATTCAAATATTATTTGAATGCACGTGACAGAGTGGAAGTACTTATGATGAGAGTATAGATGAAAAAGACAAAATTTCTCAGGATTGAGTCCTGGTATGACAATTGGAGCAGAGAAGGAAAATCCAACAAACATACTGAGGAGTGACCAGTGAAGTGAGAAAAGCAGGAGAAGGTTATATCACAGAAATAAAGAGAATAAAATGTTTCCAGGAGGGTATGGCCAACTGTTGAATGCAACTGGGTGGTTGATGAAGATGAAGACAACAGATCACAAGATATGGAAACAGGGAGATTGTTGCTGATCTTGACAAGAGAAGATTTTGATAAGAGAAGATTCTGAGGTGATGGGTATGCCTATGTCTAAACTCATCAAGAGGTATACATTAAACGTGTACAGTTTTTATATATCAATTAGATGTCAACTAAGAAAAAGAGAAAAAAATGCTAAAAAGGAAAGAATGGAAGAAGCAAATACATTGACCTGAGCAACTATTGTTGCTATAAACAGGAGCAATGAATCAGTAACTCAAGAGGGACAATGAGGTCAGGGGTATTTTTCTTTTTGATTGACACTGATAGGAGGGATAAACTGATTATCCAAGAGAGAGAACAATTGTAGGAGAAACTCCTTGAACAGACAAAAAGTGATGGGATCTAGGGTCTGTGAGCAGGGGTTGGCTCTAACCTAGAGTAGACACACTTCAAATTTACAACAGAAAGGTTGATAGATAATATACATGCCAGTGAAGAAATGTTTATAGATATAGTGGGAGGCAAAAGTAGTTTTTGATAGATTGTTTCTATGTTCTTATTGAAATTTGAAATGATGACCAAGTTGAAATGGGGAGTGGGAATGGTTTTGGTGGTTTGGAAATTTGAAGAGAGAAGAGTATGGATGAAATAATTAATGAAATATTTAATATTTAATAATTAATGAAATAATTTGTTCTGTAAGAAAGTTTACTTACAGGGGTGATGTAGTATAAATTCCTTGTGCTATTGAATATCCCTTTTGGTATGTGTGCTCATGAATTTTAAATAAAACCATTCAGCAAGGTCATGAATCTTTTTTAGTCATGTTCAGGTGCTCAGGTGTAGACATGGAATAGGCAGATGGTTGGGTTTAACTAGCATTAATGTCAGGAAAATACAAACGAGTTAAGGAATTTGCAAGAAGCAATTAAGAGGTAGACTATAAAATCTAAGCTGGGCTAAGAAGGAAACGAGAGGGAGGATGGAAAGAAAAAATAGGAAGGTTAATGGATTTGAAATTTTGATGAGGTTGAAGAAGTGCTGTGGTAGGGGTAGTAGAATATATGAGTTTGTATGATAAGATGAGGTAGCAGAGACGGATGTTTGACATCCACATTCAGAGGTATTAGAAACATCTGTGATAACAAGGTCAAAAGTGTGACCCTGGACTTGTGTTGGTTACAGAAAACATCAGTGGAAGGGGAGAGTTTGAGAAACCATGAGGGCATGGTATCAGATCTATCATCCACATGCATATGAAAATCAGCAAACTTCGGGAGAGGAATAGAGACACAGAGGCTCATAAAATGGGAGCTAAAGTATCAGCGGAATAGAGAGACAGGGAACTTGTAAAGTGTGATATTTATCTCATTGGTTTCTATGAGTTTTCAGTTTTTTTAAAGTGTATTTTATTATAAGAATGCTATAAAATAAAAATCATAATATAAGACACAAACCTCTCATAATCCCATCACTTTGTCAGAGATGGTGAATTCTGACGAGGCCCTATAGCTGTTTCTGGTCTGCCAATCACTGGCCTGGCCAGGTGTTCCATTTATTTTGCTTACTCATTCTTTGTGGAAATGTTGCAGGACTTTATGTCACCAAGAGTGGCTGCTTGTTAACCTGGCAGCCAGCTGAAGCAAGTCCTCAAATGAAGAGTCCTTCTCTTTGTGTTTCTTTGACCTCTCTAGTCCAATGCACTGATCTTTCCTACGTGGTTAAAATCTGGGACAAGAACTATTAACAATGGTTGTAAAATAGGGCAGCAATCCTTCATTTTATAAAACATGTCTCATTATAGGTTCCCTAGCTCAGCTGGTCGCTCGTTATTTCCACAGAGTTGATTGTCTGGTTACATTTGATTACTCTCTTTAATCCATCCAGATCTTCCTTCAGTTTCAGTTACATTTACAAATTATTTGGCATTCCTGTGACTAACAAGTTGTTATTCCATTTTGTAAGTAGTGTTGTTGCCACAGTTGTCTTGAACATCTGCTGATTGTTTCCGGACAGGGAATTACGGGGAGAGCGGAATGGACGCTTTCAAAGAGTTGGCTGCCCAGGAAGGCCTCTGCATCGCCCATTCTGACAAAATCTACAGCAATGCTGGGGAGAAGAGCTTTGATCGACTCTTGCGCAAACTCCGAGAGAGGCTTCCCAAGGCCAGAGTGGTGGTCTGCTTCTGCGAAGGCATGACAGTGCGAGGACTCCTGAGCGCCATGCGGCGCCTTGGTGTCGTGGGCGAGTTCTCACTCATTGGAAGGTAAGTCTCTCTCTCTCTCTCTCTCTCTCTCTCTCTCTCTCTCTCTCTCACACACACACACACACACACACACACACACACAACTTTGAAACACATACGCTTACTTTCACAAAACCAGACTTGCTAACTCCAAAGTGGGAGTGACATGCAGTGCTGAGCTGAACATTAGTTCTGGATCTCACTGATAATGTGAATACTGGTATCTTCCTGCTAGACAACAGAAGAACAAGGCTCAGGAGGGAGGATTGGTTAAGCCCAGGAGTTTGAGGTTACTGTGAGCTATGATTGGTGCCACTGCATTGTAGCCTTTTTTGTTCAAAAAAAACACAAACAAACAAACAAACAAACAAAAAACGAAAGAAAGAAAAACAAGAGCAGAGCAGCATATAACAAGATATTGAGACTTTTTCAGAAAAAAAAAAAAAGATGGAAAGCTTTTTGGCAGAATATGTCTTGATCTGAAGAATTATTCGTTTCACTTGCTTTCTCCACACCCAAGCTGATGCTTATGTCTTCCTACCTCCTAAACATGAGCATCTTATTGAGATATCAGTGGATAAAGAACAGCAGTGAAAATGGAAAATATGTATTAGGATTAGAAATTTACAGAGTTGGCTAAAGACAAGTGAAGATATGCAACAGAACTGTGGAATTTTATAATATATCTTGTCCCATTTATGAGTTAGCTAATTTTGATGCTTTCTGCATGTGATTTCTGGAATTGCTGGTGGTGGGTCCCAAAATTTCTGTTCTCTTTCTAAATCGTGTGTGCTTGTTTGGCAATAGATGGTAATCATCACTGGATTTTTCATAGGGCTTTTGACCTAACAGATATCTTGTTTAATTTGCCAGCTTCTAATATTGCATAAAGAAACTGCTCAATTTTCCCCAGGAACCTACTGAGTTTACCTGATCTTTACTGATCTTCAACCCTATCACACTTATCTTCCAAATCTCTTTGTCTCTTCCCATCTCTTCTGGGTACACTATAATCATATCACACCCATTAAAGAGCCTCAACCATTGATCTTCTGCTCTTGGAAGTTGGGTAGTACTGGTGTGGACATGCTCACTGGACCTTTCCCTTCTGTCCTTGTGTTTATAATAATGATTGCAATTCTAGTAAGACTAACTTTGCCATCACCTGGAATTAGAGGTATAAGACACTTCAGGGACTTTTTAAAAGAAAGTAGGATAGAGGGAGGCCGAGACGGGTGGATCACGAGGTCAGGAGATCGAGACCATCCTGGCTAACACAGTGAAACCTCGTCTCTACTAAAATACAAAAAAAAAATTAGCCAGGCGTGGTGGCAGGCACCTGTAGTCCCAGCTACTCAGGAGGCTGAGGCAGGAGAATGGTGTGAACCCAGGAGGCGGAGCTTGCAGTGAGCAGAGATCGCACCACTGCACTCCAGCCTGGGCGACAGAGCGAGACTCCATCTCAAAAAAAAAATAAACAAAGTAGGATAGAAATACAAATAAATGAATAAAGAAACAAAGAGATACTCTCCAAGCATGAGGAGGTGTGGAGCCAAGGTTAAATTGTAATTCATGATTAAGATAATTATTAAACGTGGGCAAAATTGGCACACTGGCACACAGAGTCAACTTGGCTTCTTCAACATGGTGCAGTTTTTGGAAGCCAATAAAATGTTCATAAGAAAGCTGGTCTTCTAAGGAGTATTTAAATAAGAAATATTATTTCTTTTAGGAGTGAAAAGAAGGTAAACAGTATTTTTGAGGTGTTTCATGGAGTAATATTCTTAATAAATGCACCAGGACAAAGGATGTACAGACATTCAGGCCTTTCCATTGCTTCTGTAACATGACTGCTTTTAGGAAGATTGCTTGTTTTTAAAAAATTCTCATATTTATAATTTACAAAACAACAATAGTCTGTTTTGCAGAATTTATTCTTTTTATAATATCCTCAAAAATGGCTATCTACCTGGGTTCTGGAGATATTGAACAGATGTGGCAAACCTGTGAACTTCAGGGCATATAGACTACCTAATTATGAAACATAATTACACAAAATTGTGCTATGTGTAATTGGAGTGTGAAAAATATATTCTGTCACCATTATGAGCTGGACAAGAATGATAATGGCAAGTTAAGTCTTTCTAGCTCTTTGTTTTTTTACCTCTTAATAATGCAGGTGAACTCATATAAGTATTTCTGAGAGTCTCACATGTGTTTGTTTATGTGCTTGTCTGTGAAGAGGTCAGCTATATGTGATGTCTACCTTTTTTATTCCTCTTAAATGCCCCACTGCTGCTGGATTCCACTGACATATCCGAGGGAGCTATTGTTGCAATGAACACCTGAGCTTCTGAGGACACTGCTTCCTGTGCTAATAGTTATGGTCACTGATGCATGGAATCCTTGAGATGACAAAGCTATACCATACTCTTTGCCAAGTGAAGGAAAGTGTCTCTGCTCTTCTGGGCTTTCCGTGAGTGGCTTTCAAAATGGTGTTGACTTTTAATCCCGCTCTTAGAGAATTTTGATGAAAGCAGCCTTTAAAATTTTTTTTGTTCACAATTTTCTCTCCCTTCCCTGATATCCAGATATGAGTTTATAAGGAGCTGAGCTGGGGACAGAGCCAAGTAGTGAGACGATGCCATCCTTAGGGTTAGTCTTCCCTTCAGGTGGCTGATTCTCTCTTTTCATTGGAGATGGATTCTATCCTAAATGGTGCTCTGTCACTCATGTCAATGGACATGTGGTGGGCTTGGTTCCCTCATTTCAGCAGACGTGTCCAGAATGGCTACAGTTTAACCTCAAGCTGCGACTTCTAGCTATATTAGTAATGCTGTCAAATATATCTCCCTCCCTTTCCAAGGGATTTTTATGTACCAAATGTTGAACTTTTTTGAGATCAGAAGCCATTGTTTGGTTTCTTTCATAACACATGGTATGATTCTGGCTACTGCCAGAGTCACAAGAGGGCATTGTGTAGGTGTCATGAACTTCTTTTCATACAGATGAAGATAGTAAATCATGGTGTAGACAGCAGCAGGAGAGATTTGGTTAAAAAAAAATTAGAACTTTTTAAATGAAGACTTATGTGCCCTTGTCTCCATGTCTGTTGTTTTCTCTCACACTTCACATGCAATGTGTCTGGAACTCTTCTTGGCAGTACCATCAAAACATATTCAGATGTGGACAACTTGTCACCACTTCCTCTGCTATCATCCTGGTCCAAGCCACCATCATCTTTCACTTGGCTTATTGTGATAACCTCAAAATTGGACCTCTTGGCCATCTAGTTTCAACATATAAGACAAAGTGATCGTCTAAAAAATTAAGTCAAGTAATGGCACTCATTACCTTACATGCCTAATGCCTTAAAATGATCCCTTATTTCTTTCATAACAAAGCCATTACAAAGGCCTTCAAAGCTCCATATTTGATCACTTAGAATGAGTTGCTTAGAATGGAATAATGAACTATATTGATAGAAAAATAGACTTCTAAAAATGGAAGCTCTCATAGAGAATAAAAATATCATATATTTAATAAATGTGGGGTAATGAAAAAACCAAACAAAACAAAACATGGGCTAAGAGCTCTAGCTATGCCACGGAGCAATTATGTGATCTTATTTACTTAGTAGCTTTTTGTCTTGTAGCCTATTTTTTTCTATAAAAATAAAATATTTGGCTCCAGGTCATCTTTAAACATTTTTCCAGTCCTAGAATTTATAATATATTAAGAAAATATGGCTAATCTAAGATCAATAAGGATGTATTTATAGATTTGTCTAATATTGTTCATGAATTGGGTCTGATCAATTTTCTCACCAGCCTCTTTGTTAAAACCAGAATTCATAGAATAAGCTGGTCAATATTAGGATAAATCTGTGGTTATGGAATATAGCCAGCAGACCCAGGGGAGAATCAAACTTTGACTTTGAACAAATTGGCATAGTATTCTCCACCAAGCAAATTAACTAATCACTATCAAGTTAATAATCGTGCAAAAGAATCATTTCTTCTTGGCTCTATGAAAGCTTTATTTAAGATGCTTCTCAGAATTATGTGCACTATATTTATAATAATAATTTTAATAATGATTGTGATGCTGATGATGCACCTGCATCTGATAATACCTGTTTAGGACTTACTATATATAGGCACTGTTCTAAGAACTTTGCACATAACTCAGTTAATTATCACAACAATGTGATAAGATAGGTAGTAATATTATTCCCCTCTCAATTTATAGAATACAGTAACTTGTCAAAAAGTGCTGCAGTGTCAGTGCTGGGATTTGAACTTAGGGACTGCAACATCAGAATTTGTGCTATTAATTAGTAAGTTTGTGGAGTAATGGAAAAACAAAACAAAACATGAGATAAGAGTTCTAGCTTTACCATGATTATTTCGTTTAAGAGATATTGGCATTAATCTTAGTTTCCTTTTAACTTGCCCTCTCTTTCAGAGATTTATTTCATTGTTTAGAGTCACCTTCTTTGGGAAAATCAGCTAAAGTATCTCCCATGAGAAAATTATTTTACATTTCTAGTTATTCTTTATTTCTTTGCATTCTTTTATTTTGTGCTTAGTTTTAAGTATTTCCTATGATGATTCATTAAAGGATAATTCATTTAACCTCTTTTCCAGCTCATTTCTTTATCTTAACCTGAGACTTTACAATATCATTCTCTTTTCACACCAGGCTTTGTCTATAGAACTATATTTATGTAGAAGCCAACTTGGAATGAGTGCTATTTCTCTAAAATTCTAAGTTACAATTACTAAAATTCTAATAGTTAACTGATAAATCTGTTCTAATTCTTAATTTTTTTAACTGAAGAAATTAAAACTGAGAATAATTTATGTGTATGAATACAAAAATCAGCTACTATTTATTGAGGGTTTGGTAGGTACTAGGCTATTGATATATGTTGTCTCTAGTTCCAACAACAACCCTGAAACGTTGACTTGAAAAGCAGAGAAGTTCAATAATTACTCCAAATTCCTAACTCTAGTAAG